TGTTCTTGTCTGTAAGTGGGTCCCTCGTGGATCCACCAAAGGTCTGCCTCGTGTCCGAAGTAAAATGAGGCTACCTCTACACGACGTTCCTCTAGGCATTCTACTAGCCCCAGAATTTTGTCGAAGGTCCGAATCCATTCCTCAAGGATGGCGGGATCTTCTTCTCCTGAGAAAGTGGGTGGTCTATGATTTGAAACTTGTCGGGCGATTTCTGAGTTTGTATTTGGTGGAGGTGGTGGTGGTCGGTTGTTGCGGAGAGCTATGTCGCTTAGTGCTTGGGCGACTTGGGTTAGTTGTTGCAGGGTTTGAGCTAGGGGGTCTTGTGTAGCGGGTTCCGGAGTCCTTGATTGTCTTCTGGTTGGTGCCATGATGCTGATCTATAGAGCCAATGTTTATAGTAACGTTTGAGTTAGAGTGTTGTACCCTTAACTTCGTGTGATAAGCGAAGGGGAGTCTTTTAAATTAATGAGGGATAAAGTGAGGGGAGGTTACGTGATGATAGGTAGGCTCACAATCTCACCCCGTGTCTTAAGGTCCCTAGTTCCTGTGTCTTTAAATAACTAAATCCTATCTTACTGAACTCCTAGTGCTTTAAGTCTAATGTCCTAAGGTCTGGTCTTAAGGGTCTTATCCTAGGGTCAAACTTATGCTCTGATACAAACTGTAACAGACCAAAATTTTTCAACTTTTAAGACTTATATAATAAAGGTAAATTCTCATTAAATCCCAAAACATAATATAATAGAGTACGGGGTGCTATGCCACACCTGAGCTAGAGAACTCAGGTGCACAGGCTAACTAACTAATATCCTCAATAATGTAAATGCACAAGCACGGCACGCAGGCCGAAAGGGAAACTATTTACTCTACGCTCCAAATCTCTAGCACGCTCCAGTGTCTACTCCTCTGTACCTGAAAGCCAAATATATCTGTTCAACGAGAGATGCTGGTAACCCACTCCAACGCGTTGAAATACAGTATAGATATATATATATATATATATATATATATATATATATATATATATATATATATATATATATATATATATATATATATATATATATATATACAAAAAATCATTTCGAAGCAGGAAGATATATACTTAAGAGACACTAGTTTTAAAACCAGGAATAGAGTCATCAAATCGGGATAAACACATCAGACAACAATAAGCAGTTAAGTAGAAATAACATTATAAGGAATACGCATTTACGGTCACAAGCCACTTCTCGATTCCAATCCACATCATCATCCAATCATCATTCATATGATATAATCATTGATGGCTCCACGGGACCAATCGCATGCCACAAACATAAGGGTTAATGCTTATAGCATTAACACGGCCCCGCAGCACCCTACCTCAGTACCGCGGTACGAGGAGAGTTGATCGCAACCAACCCTTTGAGAACCGCTGACGAACTCAACGTAGGACCACGATCCGACACACCGCTGACGCGCCCAGTCGGCGGACCCCGATCCCCTTTACAAGGGGGGACTTACGACCCTACACACCGTTGATGCGCACAATCGGTGGATCGTAGCGGATCAAGCCCGACACACCGCTGAAACTCAGTCAGTGGGCAAAGATCCTCGGAGACTACGGTCCTACATACCGATGTCTCACCACTCGGTGGATCGCAGCCAGCCGTAGCCCTACACACCGCCTGATTACTCAGGTCGGTGGACTACAACCTTCCTCGGCTTGTTGGCCCTACACACCGCCTGGCGCGTCCAGGTCGGTGGGTCATATCACCGAGGCTCATGTGGACCTTCAGTCCTATACATAATCTTTATATACCTGACCGGTCTCTACCAGCCTGGTTAACAGTTAGGATGGTTCTCAGCCCATTCAATTGCCCGTATAGTGGACCTTAGTCCTATATAATATTTATATACCCGACCGGTCTTAACCCGTCTGGTTAACAGTTGGGATGGTTCTCAGCCCATTCAATTGCCCGTATAGCCCAATTGATCTTAACCAAGTTGGGGTCATGCATCACGTAACACACACTAGCACATAATAACACATAATTCACATAGGGAAGGGGGAGACATATAATTAAGCTTACCTGTGATCATTCACATACTAAGAATAATTCCTAAGGGGTTCATACGACTTTCACCTAGGTCTACGGGTTACCAATTCAACTAGCATGCAATTCCTAAGACTCGTTTAACCTACGAATGGTACCCGAAATTCCAAACTAGACTCAGGCACGACAAACGGGGTCCGTTGGGACGCCATGGGGAACGGGGAACATCAAACGGGGAAGCCGGGGACCCGGGGTGGGGGTATGGACCAGCGGGTAGCCGATGGGTGGGGGTCACCCGCCGGCTGTCAACCGGAATTCATTGTTCCGGCAGCGAGTTGCCGGCGGGCAGGCGACTGCCCGGCGGTGTTTTCGGGGCAGTGGGTAGGTGGCGGTTTCCCCTACCCCCACCTACCCCCCACTGACTCCTTTACCATAATTTCGTCTCGGGGACCTTCGTGGAACCCGAAACCATGCATAGACACTTTTAAACGCAAATAACGACACCACGTAAGCAGTTAACGGATCAAAAGCAAGAATCATGTAGGACTTATCCTATTACGATTTCTAATGTAAACAACACACGAACATGCGAAATCCCACCCAAATATAAATCAAGAACGTCACAATACAAATTTCCAATCCGACCTAGGGCTCTAATCCCACCCAAATCATCAAGAACATATTTTATCTTTAACGTCAAGAAAATATCAAGATTCGTCAAGAATCATCACATCATAATCAAGAACTTCCTTTTAACATCAAGATTATCAAGAAAGCATATAAATCATCTTATCAATCATCAAGAACATAACATAATTATCATAGAAGAATTCAATCGAGACACAAGAATATAGAGGGAGGCCAAAGAAGGAGATTATAGCGAAGAAAATAGGTTTTGTTGAGACGTGGGTTACCTCTTAGCCTTAATTAATTTCATTGGCTATGAAGGGTCTTTCTTTAAGATTTCTCCTTTCTTGATTTCTCCTAAGGGAATTCTTGGAACTTCTTGTGTGGTGAGAGATTATTTGTGGTGTGAATTCTAGGTGCCTCCTATGCCTCTATTTATATAATTAAGAGTCCTAATTAGGGTCTAGGTGGCATGGGTTTACTAATTCTATTTCTTATAGGACTAAGGGGTTGGCTTTAGGGATAAAGGCCGACGGACCATGGTGGACCCCCTTTTAGCTAATTAGTAGATTTTAACTCCATTTTTGGGCTGAGTAATTAATTAATTAATTTGGATTTAGGGGTTGTAACACGGGTGTTACAGTTTTCTTAAGTTAAAGTTTTTAATGAAACAATCAGTACAATATATGATTTTACAAGTATCATGTACTCTTTTCTTCAACTAGGTTTTTCTCACGTGGTTTTCCTAGTGAAGTTTTTAACGAGACATGTATGTACTCGAATATACTATCCATATACATTGTACTATTTTCGTGTTTAGGTTTTTCCCATAGATATTTCCTAACATCTATAATCTATAATCTATAATCTATAATCTATAATAAATATATAAATGCCACAAGATTTCAACCAATCAGATTTCAGCATTTTCCCGCCCAGCTACAACGACACCGTTTTTTTTTTTTACTATTACGCAAATCAAATTCATCCATCTCCCGCCTATTTAGTGTGTAATCAGAAAGGCATGGTCTTAGGCTTGAAAAGTAGGGGAGTGGGCTATTGTCCTAAATTGCTTAGGAAGCGTGTGATTTTAGTGTACCTGGGTATAGGAGTGCAGAGATTTTGTATTATTTTATATCTTGCACAATCTGACTTCCGCGATTATAAATACATATGTTGAGAGTCCTGATTGCCTATGCAACCAAATGCGAAGAAAAAGAAATACAAGTTTGAGAGTCTTGATCGTCTATGCAAACACAAAGCTTCTGGAATCAACAGCATGTTTGGGCAGTTCATTGTGGTTGCGCGGCTTCATTCTCAGCAGACCACAAGGGCCATAAGGTTGTGTTGTGTGCGGGAACTATGCCCTCACTAAAAGCAAGGGAGAAAAACTCATAGGAAGTCAAGAGTGTGTTCCATGATCAAGAGGTTTTTTATTTATATATTAGTACTTTGAAAATCAAATATAGGAACAGATTTTGGACACTGCATGGGTATGCAGTGGCTAACCCTTTCAAAGTAGTATGTAATGGTTGTTTTAATTTCAAGTAAAGTATTTATGGTTTTATGCTGGTTTTCCTATGCAAATACACAAACAAGTATCACTTACATATATATATAACACATGCACATATTATTAAACAAATCCTAAAATAGGAACATATTACAAGTACAAGTTCTAGCAGTCTGTGATTTCACATATTTCACATTGCAAGTATGTTCATAGCCAAGTGTAGGATAATCAATAATATACTACAAGAAAAATCACAATTCACGACGGAATTTTTTCGTCGCGAAAACACGAAATTCCATCGCGAAAACACGAAATTCCGTCGCGAATCGCGTTTTGCGACGGAATTTTGCATTTTTGCGACCAAATCTATTCCATAGTCTCCAGGCTTGTTGTATTTCATTTTGCAACGGAAATAATCCGTCGTGAGCGGTGACTACGGAAAATAGCAACGGAAATTTTCGTCGCAAAGTAGGTGACAGAAATTATTCCGTCGCGAGTCCGTCGTGATTTTGGTGACGGAAATATTACCTTCCGTAGCCATTTTGTGAAAAAATATTCCGTTGCGAAACTCATTTTTCATCGCCTATTACCGTCGTGAAATATAACAACGAAAATAATTGTCATCGCGATTCCATCGCTAACATTTCCGTTGCAAATTTCATCTTCCGTCACAAAATTCCGTCGCGGTTCTGCTAAAGTATTTTTTAAAAAAAATATTTTGGTAATTATTATTATTTTGTTAAAATTCTAATGCTTTTATTTAAAATGTTAATATGCAATTATATTTATAAACAAAAGCTCTATTAAAACTATAATGCAATATAATTTGTAAAATTCATTGGTGTTCATTCAAATCAAATCATGAAGTCTAAATAGTTCACAAAGTACAACTCTAAATTGGAATAGTGCCGTTGGAGCATAAGGCAGTGATACTTATGAGGGTGTTGCAACGGAGTTCAACCTAACATTGGACAAGCTCCTCGGATTGAATCCTAATATCAACTGCAACAGCATGTTTGTTTGTTATGTATCTTGCAGAACTTGCAATTTGCATGGTCTGAGGTTGCTGTCTTACCCGTGACATTGGGAAATCACTCAAGTTTGGTAGAGCAAACACAACACTGTTACAACTGTCATGGTACCTATGCAGAAGCTCAAGATAGTCAATGTACAGTTTGCTGAGAAAAGATGCTGTCACAACATACTGGAGGGGGGCACCAATGTCTAGCTTTAAGAGGATCAATCCACCTGATTAAGTAAAGAACAGTTTCAGATTAAAGAACATAATAAATCAGAGATGAATGTGGCTTAACTATTTGTAGTGGCTAGTAGAAATTGCAGAATGCCTTCTATCTTACTGAACCTTTGATTGGAAGTGCATGAACACATTAACAAGTCAGTTCTGTTAGCTGATGAGACAAAAGCATACTTAAAAGGGTAGTCAAGATCTCAGAACACATTAGCAAGTCAGTGATTCCTGTTTGCATAACAATAGAGAATCACCAGTATTCATAACTAGATTAAATAACAAATGCACATCTAGCATTTTATGAATAATGAATTAAAAAGTATTATTCTTTACAAATTAATTATTATTGCTTCCTTGCATGGGGAGTATGGATTCACCATCTAGGAAATTCAGACAAAGACACATAACAGAAATAAACCAGAAAATGGCCCTAAGACTCTAAGAGCACAATTAGGCATAATATAAAAGCATCACCACTGTTAAAGTATATCATGGCAATATGAAATATATCTGTGCTCTAATTTATGTATATCTAGCCTCTGAATAGGATACATTATTGATCAGATATATTTAATTCAGCTTCCACTTCCCTAATATGTGTGATTGCATTATTCAAGCTAATAAAAGGTCCATACACAATAAGCATTAAACTCATTCACATTACAATTTTAGTTATGGATTCTCAAAACAAAGCCCATAGAGCTGCTTCTTAGTTTCAACAACTGATGCTTAGGTATGCAGGACCAAACTTGGTCTGAAAGCAAATGCAGTGCCTACTTGGAACATCTCATTTGCACAACTTTACCTTTGTTTTAAATTATAATCGCAAATTCATACAAGTTACAGAGAATAAGTGTACAAACAAATATAGATGTTTAAGGCAGAGAATCAGAAGAAAAAAATATTAGAAGTATTAGTCAAAATTTAGATTAAAATTTAATTTCCCCTGTTGTTTTTGAATCCAAAGTCTAATGTCTTACCTTGGTGTGGTAAACATCAGTGCTCTCTGTAAATGCAAAGTCCAAGCCTGCTACCTTAAATTTGATGTCAAAGAGTCACGCTCCTCTGAACATGGTGGGCACTGCAAGAAGAAATTGTAATTTCAATGTTAAATTCAGTAGAGAAGATCTCTAATATTAAGAAATCATGACTGCTAAGTTAAAATTTATAGAGAATACCATAGACAAGAATACTGAACTCAAGTGAAAAGATAAAAAGATCACATTAAGTAGCATCATAATCCGAATGACTACCCACATAGTAAACTACAGGGTATCCATGGAGCAGGGGCTTTCTTGCAGAATAACAGCAACCTCTCATCCTAGCTAATTAATGTTCTTTCAGCAGATAGATGCAATTCTCATGGATTTTGACATCCACTTTTCTTCTCAGTGGATGAAAGCAATCACTTGCTATGAAAACAAGAATAGGAGCATGTAAATATGAATATTCAGAAAAGTACATGAATGAGAAAAATGAGAGGCCAAGGTTGATAATGTTCAGAAAAAGGAGAAGAATACAGGGAAAACCATGGGAAAACCATAATCTTTGGTCTTTGGTCTTTGGTCTTTGGTCAATGATTTAGGGATACATAGGTTAAAATTTTTCTCAGGTTTTTGTTATTATTAGTTATGCAATCATGGAAGAGATAACAGGATTTGGAGCAAAGATAACACAACTTGTTTCATTCAACAACCACAAACTACAGACACCAATGATGGTAAACAAAAATATGAAATAAACAAACTTGTTTCATACATTCATCACAACCAAATAAAAATACCAAAGATATCAAAGATACTACCAAACCAAAATATCAATTTCAGTCAAAAAATCAAAGAAATACCTAGATTTACAAGCGGTGTCGGCGTCGGCAGCAGCGAGTTACGTCGCAACAGAGACTCAGCGTCGTAGCAGGAGGAGCGACGCAGAACTGAAGCAGGAGGCATGATTCAAAGTGTTGCCGGAAATTTTGGAGGAGCGACGCAGATCGCAGCAGGGAGGCACGATCCGTAGCGTCGCCGGAAATTCGGAGTTGTCTCTTAGGATTTTGATTTTGGGTTTCACTTAGATTTTAGAAAATTAGGATTTGGTAATAGTTTGGGAATGAGATAATGTCTCATTATTTTTAAATAAGTACTTCAAAAGTATATCAATTAAGATTATATAAGATATGTTCATGTATAGTTAATTGAATTTTGAATTTGTTTATTTAAATCAGTAATTCAAAGTATATGATAAGATAATAGAGGAAAGGTTGATTATAGTTGTTACTAAAATAAATTTTGGCAACTTTATAATAACGCTAGTCTTAATATTTAGTTTAAAAATAATAGTCTAAATAAATCTACTTTTGGTTTGAATTTCTCTAAGTCTTCTTAATTTTCTTTTGGGTAGAATTATCATTGTCTTCATATTCAGTATTTTGTACTCTTCTTCTTTATTGGTAGTGCGTCATGTGCAATTGGGTTACTGGTGGTAGCATAGAGGACAACGTCATGCAATAAAATTTTGGTGTAAGAAGTTTTAGATTTGCGTTGCTATATATATGGGCATTGTCAATTCTTTGGACAATGGTCCTACCGTTTAGAGTTCATGTTCAGTTGTATTTCTGATCCACAACTTTGTAGTTAGGTCGCGCATGTCTGACAATGATATAAGAACAATTTTGTCCGTTAAAAAAATAATAGTACAATATTTATAAAATAATGTACAATTGTACCATTATAGAAATACATACAAAAAATATTAATACAATAATGACCTAAATCATTCCAATAATGCAAAAGCATAATTGAAATATTGTCTTGTTCTAAATAATCAAAAGAAGAATAATTAAACGAAAAAAAAAAAAAAAAAAACTTAACCTAAATTTATTTTTAAAAAAGTGCAAGAAAATAATTTTCAAAATTCACCGATATGTATTTAGTTAATGTTAAAGTGTCTAACTTTATTGATTCTTATTAAATTTGTAGATGTAGAAAGAGTTAATATTTTAAATTACAATATTATATACACTCTATTAGGGATTTTGGATTATAATTTTAAATTTTAATTATTAAAGGATTAATTTTTTAAATTATACTCCGTAATATATATATATATGTGTGTGTGTGTGTGTGTGTGTGTGTGTGTGTATGTATATGTATAAATTATAAAACGGCGTCATTTTGGATTAATGATTACAAAATATATACTTTCCAAATAATTAATTGAGAAAAATTAAATATTTAATTATTTTCCATATTTGTGTATGATTAAAATCTTATTATATTTAAATATTCACATAAACTTTAATTATTATCTTTAGGTGTGTGTGCACAATTCGGTGAAAATTTGTTTAACGGTCAAATAAAAAAATACACAGACACACACACACTAGTTATAAATTTATAATACGTGCATTGCATGATTAAATTAATGTCCAACAAGAAAATTAAAATATGTAAATATATAGATGAGAGGCCGAAAAGATAGTGCAATAATTGAAGATGTAAAAGTAGAATGAAGTGTATAATCGTTTTCTAAAAACGAAAAAAAATAAAAAATAGAATCCATAAGAAAAATGAAAATAGTAAAGTTGGATTGAAAGTGATATTTCATTTTAATTATATGTTGTGATAATTTAAGCATGAATAAAATTTTATTTTGCAGATTTTATTTGCCGCAAAATCTAGATGGCTGCATAGTTGGCCCAAATGTTGCCTACTTCAAACTTAATACTAAATGGACACCAAGTAATGCACTACTAAGTCTTCTATTTGTATTTATTACTTCACTTCATTAACTAAGCCTCCGTTTACCAGAGCATTTTAGAGTAATTCATCACTTTTATTTATTTATTTTTAATTATTTGAATGAATTACTAACATTAAAATGTTTGACATTTGTAAAAGTTTTGGTTGTGACAATAAGTGTATAATAAGAATATAAGTGTGCTTAATTGTTTGGTCAATGGTTAAATATTTTTGCGAAGGATCGAACGACCGTCGCAATTCATGTCGTTACCCTCTGTCGTCAAATATCTCTGAGCCAAACATCACAATAAAATTAATTTATGTTGTCGATTTCATCGCCATAGTGTGACGGATATGTAGACCGTCACATTTTTTGTTGCCACTATGTCAACATATTGGTGATAGAATTGATTCTGTGTGTTTCATTCTGTAGCGAAAATAAACTTTACTTAAAAAGTTAAATATTTTCGCAATGGAACAAACGGTCATCGCAATTTTCGTCGCCAACCTTAGACGTCACTTCCCCCCTTTGCACCAACACTCGCAACGGAATGAGTTCTATTGCCGATTCCATCGCCATAGCCCAACAGACATGTTGGGCGTCGCATTTTCTATCGTCACTATGTCAACATATTGATGACGGAATTGATTTCGTCGTTTATTCTATAGCGAAAATAAAATTTACTTTAAAAATTAAATATTTTCGCGACGAAAAAATGATCGTCGCAATTTTCGTCGTCATCCTCCGTCGTCAATTCATTGGCGCGAAGATTATGCGGGAGTATTTCCCACTTTGCGCAAAAAATCGCAACGAAATTCACTCTCGTCGCCAATTTTGTCGCAAAACCGCGACGAATATATTAGTCATTGCATTTTCTGTCGCCAATTTGGCGACGAAACACCATTCCGTCGCAAAATCTGTCACCAAAATTTGGGCGCCAAGATTTTGCAGGTTTTTTTCTCACTTTGCGCCAAAAAAATCTACGGAATGTAATTCCGTCACCATTTCCGTTGCATTATCGCAACGAAATGCGTTCCGTCGCAAAAACTGTCGCGAAACGGCAACGAATTACGAATTACGTTCTGTCGCGATGTAATAGATAAAAGTGCCATGTTTTTACTTACCAAATGATCTAGATGTCAATATTTAGCTTCAATATTTGTCTCATCTACTGCATGGCTTGCTAATCTTTCTGTAGTGAATGGGCAGTTGCTGAGATATAAATAAAAAGTAGAAATCATTAAAGAAATGTATTAAGAGACAAAAATAAGAAAGTTAGATTATTAATGAATTTAATGGAGTAGGTGCAGGATTTTTCTGACTATGTTGTTAAGGAGTTGGCTGGACTTCTTTCTGAACACTTTCTGCACCTTGATACATCAAGGGCATCCATCTATGGTCACACTCAATAGGTGGGCATGGAGCACTAACAATCTACCTCAAAAACTTGGACAAGTACAAGGTAAGTTAATTTCATTTTCTTGAACAAAAGAAATGGTTACTTATTTGCTTTCCAACGAAACCTGTTATAGCTATGTGTTAATCACAGTTTTGAGACATCTTCACTACATTTACATGGTGTGTGTGATCGGAATTACACAAGGGGATGGGTCAAGTGCCCATCAAATTTGGTATAGTTTTTCATGGTTAAGATGCCCCAAATGGTTAACCAACACTATCTGTTCTGAGAAAGAGATTTAGACACTTTTAAATTTCTTTTATTGATACATTACTGTTGTTTATTTGCAGTCAATGTCAGCATTTGCTACAATTGTGAATCATGTGAAGTGTCCTTGGGGCTAGAAGCCTTTCACAAACTACTTGGGTGAAAATAAAGCTGATTGGGAGAATGATATTGCAAGTTGGGTTAAATAATTGCAATAAATATATATATATATATATATATATATATATATATATATATATATACTTATTATAATTGTGAGTAATAATTTATTATAAATTGAAATTTGATAGAAGGTAATATATATTCCTTATTATAATAATAAAGTATTAAAATATGACATAATATTTAAATAATTTATTTGTTTTTTAAAAGTACAAAATAAAGTTATCAGATTTCTTTGAGTACAATACAAGTTACACAATTTTACTATTTTTTTCATACACCTAAGTATCTAGCCCTACTACTGGGCATGAATTGTTGATGGTAAGCTTTGACTCTAATATACTAATATTTGATAGTGAATTTTCAATTCTCTAAAAGTTGGTATCTATATATACATGTCATTTAAGAGACAAAGATCTACCCTCTATATTCATTCCCAAACAATAGTTTTGTAAGTTCATAGTTAAGATTGCAAGAACAATGAAGAAATTGACGGGGTCAACTATCATATGTGGAAAAAGAAAACACGATGTTGAAGATAAAGGTACAATGGAAGCATACCTGCTATTGTATATTCAAAGTCTATGAAATATTGAGTTAATATTTCATCTACAATATGTTCCTGATTTGCTTTACCTGTGTGTGAAATCTGCACCATTTTTTTGAAGTAGAAATATATGTTAACTCTATTAAAAATTATGCAATTGAAAGAAATTAAAATCAGCAATAAATGTTATTGTTCGAAGTGACAAATTTTGTTCTTTCCTGTAGCTATATATTAAATATGTAATTCTATTTTACAAATCTGTGATTGACTTTCATCATTAGTTTTTTAATAAAATTCTATCTGCATATATATCTAGATACTATCTTCACATTCCTGAGAATGGGAACCCAGAAGGCCTGTGGTTTACCTTAAAAGAAGGCAGCAAATATCGGCTGACTGCCTGCATTAAAGGAGTAAGAAAGAATAATAAGCAAATCTTTTTTCATGGTTGCATGTCTTACTGTCCAATAGCAGAAACAAAGATTAATAAGGCAAAAATAGTACTTGCAGATTCCATACTGTTCTGATAAGAAATAAGAATAAGCAAATGGCTTGATGGTAAAGATCTAGGGTTCAAATCCCTATAAAATTAGGTAATATAGATGGATGCTTTTAACAATTTATTAGGTTAGCATATATGGCTTGGAGTAACTGTAGGTTTATTGTGTTTTCATGAGCAGTTGGGGGAGTATTGGGTAGTCGGCCGAATTGTTGGTGTTGAGAGTCTATGTGATTGGTACTATATTTCTTGCAAGACTAATTCTTGCAAGAAAAAGCTCTCTGAAAGTGGTGGAATGCTCTACTGTGCTGGGTGTAAGAACTATTGACAAGAAGGAGTTGTGAGGTATAGACTGATAGTTCGTGCTGCGGATGATACTGGAGATGTTCCTATGCTTATATGGGATTGTGAATGTGCTGAATTGGTTGGTATAGCAGCTGGTGA